CGCATCTTCCAGAGAGAGAGAGAGAGAGGATGGGGCACGGGTTTCGCCTGCGCGTCTGTGTGCGTCTCGAAACGTTGCCTCTTCCCCTCGAGGTGGGCGCGAGTTTGAAAGCTCTTTGATGAAACTTGATTTGAAGCTTTCGTGACTGCAGGAATTAATCTTTGGTAGAAAGAAAATAAATTAAATAATAGAATACGACGTTTCGATTGCAATACAAGTAACCGTCATCAGGTAAGAATGAATGAGTAACCAAAGCTAGTACGTGACTTTACCGAAAGAACCAAGAAGATTAATCCCTGCAGTCACGAAAGCTTTAAATCGAAAAACAAAGCTAGTAAACTTATAAATGTAATGCTATGGAACACAGAGAGTCGGCCAACACAACAGTCTACCTACCTGGTTGATTACGTTCCTCCAAAGATTGCTAAATTTGAGAGAGAGACAAAACACAGACACGGAGACACACAGACAGACACACAAGCAGAGAGAGACACACAGAGATAGACACACACAGAGACACACAGAGATAGACACGCAACATAGACACACACAGAGAGAGACACACAGACAGACACACACGCAGAGAGAGACTCACACAGAGACACAGAGATAGACACACAACATAGACACACAGAGAGAGAGACACACACAGAGACACACAGAGAGAGACACACAGAGAGAGACACACACAGACACAGAGAGAGAGAGAGACACACACAGATAGACACACCGAGAGAGACAAACACAGAGAGAGAGAGAGACACACATAGACACACAGAGATATACACACACACATAGACACACCGAGAAACAACGCCTGATTATCGCTTCTGAACTCCTCGTGTTGTCCTGCGATCGTTCCTGGCACCTGCGCGCTTCTCTGCAGTTTTTATAAACGCGGGCACGTGCCTGGAATTAGCTTCAGGTTCCGAAGCGTCTCCGGACAGCGGAGACTTTTCATGGATCCAACTTAATTTGTTTTAAATCTCCGACTCCATACATTGGACATTTGCTCCGTGTACACAATTTGTTCATGGGCGGACTCAGTAATTTACAATTAAGATATTAAAAATAAATAAGTATGTGTCGAAACCCTCCACCACCCGACACGGCCAATTAGGGATTTGTCACATAAACACAGCGCCAAATAGTTTTACTACTTCAGCCCACCGGTGTGTTGGAGAGTATATCCACACCATTTATAGGTTGAGTAACTCAAATCCCTTACTAATTGGCTGTTTCGGATGGTGGAGGGGTTCGACACATTGAAAGTTCCGCGATCTAACCCAATTATATTGTTCGCGAAAGCCTGCTACGTTTTAAACTAAAAATAAATCAGTTAATGCGAGGGACAAAGCGAACCCATGCTCCCCAACCCTCCCCCCCCCCCCAAAAAAAAAACTCCGAGTACCCAGCGAAAGCCGTGCTCTCGGTGATTATATATTCGTTACGTTCTCAATTTTGCAAACCCCGCCCAAAAATCATTGTTGTTCCGTAATGGCATAAAAATATTGAGCAATTATTATGTTTTACAATAACTCTTTTTTTTGTACTGTGTGTGCAGTCGATTCATCAAACTTTGACTCTCGACGCTGCGGCCCTATTGGCGGACGAACATTGTGACGATTGTTCGCCGCGCGCGCGTCTTTGTGACCGCGCAAATAATCCCGCTCGTGTCAAGGACGCGCGCGGGACTGTTCTGAAAAGCTCGCGGAAATTACTCGTTGAATGAAAGGGAGAGAGAGGAGGAGCGATTAGGAAGGGAGGGAGGAGGAGTAGGGCGGAGGAGGAGGAGGTTCCTTCACGGGGCTAGGCTGGTCCGCACTCGGTGGTCTCCCGGGGAAGGTGGTGGTTTGGTGGTGGTGATGGTGGTGGTCCTAGGAACGTCAGATGGGGGTCGCAGTGGCACCGCTTCCCTCCGCACTCGGCCGTGGCCGCGAGCTCAACCCAGTGCCGGATTCTCCTATCTACTACATATGTAGTAGCACAAGTAGCTACTACATATGTAGTAGATACACACGTGTAGTAGCTACATATGTAGTAGCTACGGGCCCCGCACTTTCAAGGGCGCCGCGCTAAATACCTTCAAGCTATCAATTCCGGTTCAGTGATTCTGCACTTGCTCTATTACTATAGTACTATACCGCCTTCCACTTTTTTCAACGACTGGGTGTTTAAGGTTAGCGATCTGTCGTATTATCTGGCTGTATAGCAAATGAAAAAATACAATTACTTTACATTGCAAGTAAAACAATGTTCGTTTTAATATTTGCGTGTTTAAAAACAAAAAAATAGGGCCCCTTTATAACATATGCTACAGGCCCCGCACTAGCTTAATCTGGCACTGGGGGTTGCTGGACGAGATGCGGCCGGTGACGGCTGGCTTATGAGTGCGTACTTTCGGAAGGACCGGGCCACATGAGTGAGAGAGAGAGAGAAAACCACACAAATCACGTGAATGCTTAACCTGCTCATTATGAGGGTTTCAATTTGTGCACGGGTATCCTGACTCTGGCTGTTAAGTCTCACCCAGACGTTGTTCAATCTCCCGCATTGGCGGTGGTAAAAGCGCGCTCTCTCTCTCTGCCTCTTCCCTTGCATCGTCTCGCTTCCCGAGTTTTTACCACCTTGCCCAATTCAAGAAACTCATCGTCTCTCGTTTTATACTGGGGGTTGTTCCGGGGCGCCTATGGCCAGGAAAGTCACGAAAAAAATTGCACACGAACGACGCATTCACGCAAGCACCCGATGCTCCGTTTTTAAGTTTTAAAACATCTTTGAATTGTATTATGTTTTGAATTAGATAATTTTATTACTTAATTAAAAGCTTTCTTCATTTTACATCTGGAAGACTTAATTGAAAACGACATTTCGTGTGAATTTTTTCTCGTCGTTAAGTAGATGGCCTTGCCGGGGGTTGGGTTCGATGCGGACTTTCACCTGTTTGGGATTGCGGGATCGAGATAAGGCGACAGAAGACCGCCATCTGCAGATCGATTCCAACATAATCGAACGTCTGTCACTGCGCCTCCGTGGTTCATGCAGGGCGCGCGTAGGTTTGCAGCGCCCCCTGCATGAAATCGACGGAAAGTGCAGCGTTCATCACAGATAAAGTTGTGCGCTGATATAAGAGTATTACGACTTTACCCACGCTGCTTGTTGCCGGCCGTCTGGAATTTCTGTTGTTGTTGTTGTTTAGCCCTTTGGACCCCATGTGCTCAGTCAGCAGTAGTGAAGAAAAAATCACATCAATTTACACCCCCCCTCCCCCTTGCTACCGCGGGCTTCTTCTGTGCCCAACAAATGTAATTCGTTCATCCCTCGGCCACCACGTGAAGTGACTGTCTCGTGGACGGATCCTGACCACGCGTGCGCCGCGGTTGGGGGTGGGGTAAGGAAGGGGGTTGGGGGCAGGATAAACGCTTGCCCTCAATTACGCTCACTTGGCACCGTGCCTCTTGACGCCGGGATTTGCGATGACAAGCGCGTTGGTCTTCATAGCCCGTGGAGCTCGTGGTGACCAGCTAGTGAGCGCGGTGGCGCTCGCGAGCGGTGGCGCAGCAGTCGGCGCGCCGCTGCGCTGTGAACCCGGCAACCCGAGTTCGATTCCCGCTCACCGCCAACGTCGATGGCGAATATCTCAACCGGGCTAGGGCCGCGTGTAGGTTGACTCAGCCTTAATCGAGTATTATAACATCAGCATTGGGGTGACAAAGGCGGTCGGGCGTTATGCTGGCTACCTAGCCTGTGCCGGCATTAGGTGCTCGCAAATAGCACTTAAGGCTATATGGGGAATATTGGCCTTTATCGATTACGGGTTATGTGTCCTGCATTGACTTGGGACATTCAGGCTGTCTTTGATCCATCCTGGATTGATGGATTGAAGCAGAGTGCATTGTATGATGACCATTGAAAGATCTCGGCATAGCCCCATCAGCAAGCTCCTCCTGCACACTCGGCCGCCACAGTGCAAAAGAGCTGCTCTTTCGCCGGATAAAGGGGGCTAAATGGACTCGGCACAAGCTAGGAGAAGCGTGGTTATGATAATGTGTAGCTGAGTGGACTAGCCGACGGCCAAAAACCAGAAGCGTCAGGATCGACCTCTGTGGTGGAGGTTTGTAAAATAGCGTTCATTGGGCGACTGGAGACAGCCAGCCCCTAGGATCAGATGCAGTGGTGGAAAGACAGAAACACCCATTTGTATACGAAATGCCCCTGAACTCACGTGTGCTCTGAATGTACGCATGTATGTATGTTGAACGTCTTTCGCGTAATACGTAGCCATCTGTGCTAATCGCACGTCCGTCCATCGTTCCGTCCAAGTATGCAATGGTGTAAATGCTTTGCCCCGAGCTAACATACTCTGATGGTGCATTGTCTTTGAGTTGTGCGCCTTTTGTCGTCATCTGGTCCAACACCATGTGAGACTAGGCTCTAAGGAAAGCTGTCTCGGGTGTGGACCAATCAACTTCAAGGACAGTGCATACATTATCAGAGTTATGTTTTTTGTTTGCATTATGACTGCAGGTATTGTGGTCTATGCAAACATGACTCCTTGTAAAACAGGTGTCAGTTTTGTTGCCAGATAGAAGGGTAAAAAAACAATTATCATATTTTTTACTGGCAAATGAGGTTCCAATGGTGTAAATGCTTACCCGAGCTCTCATACTCTGATCGTGCATTGTCTTTGAGTTGTGCGCCTTTTGGCGTCATCTGGTCCAACACGATGTGAGACTATGCTCTAAGGAAAGCTGTCTCGGGTGTGGACCAATCAACTTCAAGGACAGTGCATACATTATCAGAGTTATGTTTTTTGTTTGCATTATGACTGCAGGTATTGTGGTCTATGCAAACATGACTCCTCGTAAAAAAAGGTGTCAGTTTTGTTGCCAGAGAGAAGGGTAAAAAAACCAATTATCATATTTTTTACTGGCAAATGAGGTTCCAATGATATGCAAGAAGGTTTAAGAATTCCCTCTCTCGCGTGCTGCGGAGTGCAGGTTCCTGCTCGTCTTCAACTGCCTCGTCCTCTCCGTGTTCTCCACAATCCCCGGCTACCACGAGGCGTCCACCCGGGGCCTTCTCATCGTGGTGCGGTGACCTCCGGTATTCGTGCCTCCCCCAGTTTCCCGCTGTCGTGCCACGTGGCTGCCAGTATTCGAGCGCTCCCAGAGGCAGGGAGGGTTGGTGAATCACTAACTTTCATTCAGACGCTGTCGCCTCGACAGACCTGGTTTTCACCTGAGGACGGCTGCTTGCGTTGTGGCCGAAACGTCGTGAGAATTGTTTTATTATGTTTTATTTTTATTATTTTATTACTTCCCTTCTACGTGACTTTACCGAAAGAACCAAGAAGATGAATCCCTGCAGTCACGAAAGCTTTAAATCGAAACACTAACTTTCGATTTAACACTAACTTTCGATTTAAAGCTTTCATGACTGCAGGGATTCATCTTCTTGGTTCTTTCGGTAAAGTCACGTAGAAGGGAAATAATAAAATATAATAAAATACAATTCTCACGACGTTTCGGCCACAACGCAAGCAGCCGTCCTCAGGTGAAGAACAGGTCTGTCGGAAAGACAGCGTCTTATTTTATTATTTCTCTTCTACGTGACTTTACCGAAAGAACCAAGAAGATGAATCACTAACTATTTTCATATTACTAGGTAAGGCCTACTGAGCATTAATTATATCTATCACTTTTTCAGAAGCGACCTGGCCACCACAAGTGAGAGCCCAGCAAAGTGGCTTGTCACGTGTAAATGTATTGCAGACAAATAGTCTAAACGCACGTTTCAAAATGTGGAGGGAAACACTTGAGGACCCGGAGAAAAATCTACGCGACCACGGGGAGAGAGAGAGAGACACCGCAAACTCAGAAAATACAGCAGGCGGCATGGTCGGGATCGAACCCATGACCTCCTGTATACTAAGCGAGGTATTTAAGATCTCGCCATTGTGTACACAAATATGACCACGGCTTGCCGGAAGGCAATTCAGCAAAATGAGAACGATTATCATCTTGTCGTCTCTTCATGTACGCGATCGAGTGTTGCATCCTCACAATAATTGGCCGAAAACACCGAAATAATTCTAATATGTAGCGGACCGCCACAGAGCTTAGGTGGTTGTTGGTGCCGGGTCGTCGCGTGGCCGCCTTCCCACTCATCTCAACTACCTCTGTGAGTCGTTCTCTCTCGAGCAAACAACTGCGCACAGCGCAAGCCGACCATTAGCGGTGCGGCTACACAGCGTGAGGGAGGTACCGCCTTTCCCGTCCGCCTCTGTGCATCCCTCCCTCCTTCTCTGGTGTACGGTGCTGGTGTACGGTGCTTTTTCTGCAATATTTTGCTGTCTTTTCTCGGATTTTCTGTTTGCACATAGTCACTTTAAGATTCTAGATTTGAAGCTTTCGTGACTGAAAGGATTCATATTCTTAGGTTTTTTCGGTGAAGTCACGTAGGTGAAAAATTTAAATTAATTAAAGTAAAATAAAAATTAAATCACGACGTTTCGGAGGCAACACAAGCTTCCGTATTCAGGTGGAATCGTTACAGCACGACAGCTGTATCAGCTGTATCAGCTATCGTGCTGTGACGGTTCCACCTGAAGACGGAAGCTTGTGTTGCCTCCGAAACGTCGTGATATTTATTTTATATATATTTTCCTTTCATTAATTGAAAATTTTCACCTACGTGACTTTACCGAAAAAACCTAAGAATATCACTTTAAGATGTTTTCTTGTTCATGTCTTTGTTTTTTTGCTTGTTGCGGTTGCACCCGATTCAAGATGCCGAATGGCTCACAGGGCTATACCTAATCAATGAAACTTGAAACTCTCTCTCGTGCACGCGCGCAGGAGGTGGTCATGATGGCCGTGTTCAGCGTGGAATACTTTGTGCGCTTCTGGGCGGCCGGTTGCTGCTGCCGCTTCAGGGGCTGGAAAGGCCGACTCCGCTTCGCCCTGCGCCCCTTCTGCATCATCGGTGAATTTGCTCGCTCCGGCCAACGGCCACGGTGACACACAAACACACGGACAATGATCCCTCCGCATCGCCTTAACAGACTGTTGGGGCGAGTGCTGTTAGCGAGCACCTATGAAGGCCCGGCACGGTACACGAGGGGGTGGGTGGGGCCAGCACTACCCCCGACCGCCTTTGTCTCCCCACTGCCGATGTTTTTTTTTAACACACCGCACCAGGTTCTCATTTTGAGGCTGAGTTAACCTAGGGGAGGCCCAGGACCACTTCAGATAATTGTAACTTGGTGTCGTTGGCTGTGATTGGGAATCAAACTCGGGTCGCCGGGTCCTTAGTGCAGCGCGCTAACCACTACACAGACACGCACGAATTAATCTCAATCGCTATCATCATCGTCGTCATCATCATGATCAATCACGAGCATCATCAGCCACGATCAAATTTACTGCCACATGGAGGTAAGGGGAGGAGTTATCCTGCAGTTTGTCGAGTTCTTCACTGGGCACTGGCACGAGCGAGCCACGTGGTGCCGAGGGGCCGGTGCCGTCGCGTCGGGCATCTGGATTGGTGGCGCCAGTGAGGACAGCGCAGCGAGGATTATCGACGCTCCGATGTTGAGATTGTCACCGTGGCACAAAGACGGACGCCACTGTGGGAGAACCAGCATGCCAAGATGTTCCCCTGAAATGTAAACACTGGCGGAGGCCCACGCAATTGGCTCAAGACATCGATCACGAATTCGTTTTGTGAGGAAGGCAGTTGCCGGCTCTGAATCGTGCAGCATATTTCGTCATTGTTTCCCCCAACTTTTCCTGCTAAAAGCAAATTCATTAAATTTACACGAGCGCTAAAATGACTTGATTTTTTTTTATTTGACGTCCTCCTTTCTCTTGACCTACTTTTCCAAACGGAATGTGCGGCGGCGCATACCAATAGGACGTTATACGGCGTCGTGCTCGACTCACGGTTGCCACCGTCTGAGGTGCAAAAAATACCGGGACGTTTCTTGTACGGTACGTTTTGTTGAACTTCTTTCGCACCGTCCGTAGACAATCGTGCTAGTCGGAGGTTCGGGGGCGGGGGGGGGAGAAGGACAACGAAATAAAACACAAAATTAAAAATATTGCGGGAAGCAGAAGATCTCGCGGTCGTGAATGAGGAAAGAACTGCACGTGATGAATGTGCCGTGCTGGGCGACGCATTAATACGCAAGCGACAACAACAAAAGAAGCCGGGCTTTTGGAGACAATCCAGATTCCCCGCCATGGCTACCTCAAAGTGAGGATGGTCCTGGGAAAGCCAGGACAGTCGGCAACCCCGAATCCACCTCTAGAACCGTCTATATAAATAACTGGGCCCTGCGGAGACACCGTAAACAAAAAACAACATCGCCGGTCAGTGCGCAAAGATGTTATGGAAGAATCTCGCGCTGATGATGATATGCTGCGGAAAACTTGGTGCGCGCCGTCGTAAAAAGTGCTACTGCTTTCGTTTTTTTGTTTTTTACTTTCTTTCTTCGGGACACGTCTCATAACCATATCAATGAGACGTGCGCCACACGACCGTGATAGGTGTCACCGTTTCGTGCGCGTGGTGGGTTTTCTCCGAGTTCTCCCACCCACCTTCCCCCGCCCCATCGTGCAGCTAAACTCCCGTGAATGGAATTCCGTGGCGGGTACCCTGATGCCACGGGACGACTCGGTGAGGCTTTCCTTGGTAAAAAAATAATAATTGGGGAGACAAAACAGGGCCGGTGCTGTGCGCTCACCGCTGCGCCACCACTCCTTTCCCAGGGTAAATAACATTCGTGAAAATGTTGTGCCTTGATGGACATGGAAATATTTGCGCAATGAATGCGCACACAAGCGTTTTCAGCTGTTAACTTGGCAAAAAGATTTTGTTTTAAAATCCCTTTTTACCGCACACTTGCACTTAATTAGGCTCATTCGGTTTGCAGGGGAGCTATTTTTACATTTGCTTCATTCACTCATCGGCTTACATATTCACGGGGCATTATTTACACGCATCTCTAATTCAACAAATAGCCGAGCGAAATCAATTCGCTCACCCATCCATCCATCATCAATTTGTCGACCCGTCCGTCCGTGTGAAATGTCCCACAGTGGCCCACTCTTGCGAAGGGATGCGATGTCCCCTAGAGGAAGGGAACAGACGGCAAAGGTCACTCGTGTAGGACGGCGATGGGTCCGTGCGTGCGTTCATAACGACACACATCGCATTCCGTCTGTAGCTCTTCCATATCCACACGCTGATGAAGAGAGTTTTCAATCGGTGACGCGTGAACAGAAATCACAAACATTGACATATGAAAATAAACAAAGACTGGCAAGTGCGCAGAGTAGCGTGGGGATAAGTGTGCCCAGAATTGCATCGAGAAAGAAAGGCAAATAGGTAGACCAGGGAACAAATATTATATTATTTTATATTATTTTATTATGTTTTATTTTTATTATTTTATTATTTCCCTTCTACGTGACTTTACCGAAAGAACCAAGAAGATGAATCCCTGCCGTCACGAAAGCTTTAAATCGAAACAAATGCAGAGTTAGTGGGCTTGGGCAGGACACATAGCTTTTGTGGCCGTCTGGAACGCTCTTCATTCTGGTTTTAGGAAGCCACTGGAGCTATGCACTATTACATCTGAATTGAAAACTATTTTTTAAATCTGCTTTTTGTGTTTAGTTTGTTGTTCTCTCCCCCGCACCACCGATTAGCGTGGTTGGCTACGTACGCTGCAAAAGAAGTTCAACGTACATAGCTTCAAGGACTGATGGCCGATGGCTGAGAATGGCAGCTCAGTGTGATCTTCATTGGCACGATCGCCGCGAACGTGTGGAGCGAAGGGGTGAATTCACGGGCAGGAATGAGGGATTGCAGTGGCACGGGCAAATGAGGACGATGACGATGATACGTGGCCCCTGACAGCATGTTAAAGCAATGCCAAACGTACGACCAGCTGTCAGCTCCGCGGGATAATAGAGGGGACGTTAGCCCAGGTATAGAACAAAAAAAAGACATGGGGAATACGGAGCGACCGTGAATTAGGTTACGGAAAACGTGCGACGTTTACTGACAGAACGAGGGTGAACACCCTCGTTCTGTCCATTTTACTCGCCAAACAAGCGCGCGGTCACCACGGTCACGCGGTCACCGCGTGACCCCTCGCGAGCGAGGAGCAGCCAAGTGGCGAAACGCGTGCGTGCGTCGGGCGACTTCACCTCATTTCATTTTCGTTTGCGCGAGCACGGCCCATCCGCAAAGCCCACGCAATCTTGGCCACTGACAGTCGCCGGTCGCGCGTTAACCCTGCGCGTGGGTCTGCGCGTGCTCGCGTCTCTGTGTGTCGTGCGGGGCGGGGGGGCGATCTCGTGGGTCGACAGACAGCATCGTGCTGGTGGCATCGCTGGCCGTGATCGCGGCCGGCACGCAGGGCAACGTCCTCGCCACGTCGGCGATGCGGGGCCTGCGCTTCCTGCAGATCCTGCGCATGGTCCGCATGGACCGCCGCGGATGGACCTGGCAGCTGCTACGCTCCGTCGTCTTCGAGCACAGCAAGGTGTGGGGGGGGGGGGGTTGGTATGGAGAGGGGGGCACTAGGGGGAGGTGGGGGGCTGACGTTGGTAGCCGACGCGAGCAAGAAACGTGGAATGCCAATGGGGGCAGCCGGTGTGGGTAGCGGACGGAGAAGCCAATGGGGGGCAGCCAACGGAGTCGCTTTGTAATGCCACTGCGACACAGTCGACAGGGCATTTGGGTTCATACTCTTAGGTTTTGTTGGTAAAGTCACGTAGGTAAAAATATATAATAAAATAAAAACAATAGAAATAAAATAATATATCACGACGTTTTGGAGGCAACACAAGTCTCCGTCATCAGGTGGGACCGTCACAGCTAGATTTACTGTATCAAGGGTAAATACAGTAAATTTAGCTGTGACGGTCCCACCTGATGACGGAGACTTGTGTTGCCTCTGAAACGTCGTGATTTATTATTTTAATATTATTATAATTTCAATTATTTTCATTATTTATTTTAATTTTTTACCTACACGGTGACTTTACCGAAAAAACCTAAGAGTATGAATCCTTGCAGTCACGAAAGCTTCAAATCTAGAATTAGGGCCTTTGGGTCTCTATGCAAGTGGTCGTACGGGTCTCTGTTGTCGGTCCATGGGTCGATATGTGAGGCGCCATTGTGAATCCACGAGCACGTGTCACCCGAGATTGTAAAACCCGAGGCGGGTCTCCTCGCGCCCTGAGCCATGAATTGCCACTGCATTCGGTTTCTCATATATCCTAACTGGGGCGCCGCAGTGGCCGAGATGCTAACTCTATCTTAAATTTGGAGCTTTCATGACTGCAGGAATTACTCTTTGGTTCTTTCGGTAAAGTCACGTATAAAGAAAAAATAATAAATTAAATAATAGCATACGATTTTCGATTGCAACACAAGCAATCATCATCAGGTATAAATGAAATAGCAACAAAAATCTAACCAGAAAACTATAGACAGACATATAAGCAGACAGATATCACCAAGATACATAGAGAGAGTAACACAGGCACAGAGAGGGAAATCGTCTCTGTGGCGAGGCCTTAAATAGACAGAGGGGGGCGGGGGCGGAGAGAGGGAGGGGTTAGAGAAAAAATTAACATGTCAATGAGTGCGGCGACGCGTGGTCAACTACGCAAGCCTGAACATTAGGGAAGAGGGAGAAAGAACACACTAAATTAACTCTACCTCGCCTGGTATGCAGGAGGTCGTGGGTTTGATCCAGACCCCAATGCCTGCTGCTGTATATTTGGAGCTCGCATGTTCTCCCGCGTGGATTTTTCTCCGGGTCCTCCGTTTTTTTCCCTCCACATTAAGAAACGTGCGTTTGGAGTATTTGGCCGCTGTAAATTTCCACGCAGTAAGCCACTTGTTTTTTATGCTATCTACGTGACTATAAATTCCTGCAGTCACGAAAGCTTTAAGTCAAGAATAAGCCACTTCTTTGAGCTATCATTTGTGGCCAGGTCGCTTATAAAAAAGAGCTACATAGCTCAGTGGAACTTATCTGGTAAAATAAAAAAAATAGTTTTCGTTTATAGTTTTAACTTTTGGGTCAACAGTTTTCTGGAGATTCACCAATCAATTTTTATTTTTAGTTTATCCTGAGAGAAATGCAACGAAAGCATTAATCATGTAACATCTCATCAAAGGTACTGCAGCAGCGTTTCGATCATTATACAGTCAGGAACGTTTCACCACATCTCCGGTGCACTTTTCAAAACTTTAAAAAGAGAATAATTTAGGGATGATTTTTTTCAAATTTCTGTCTTGAGAACGATGATGGCACCTGCCCCGTAAGCATTATCACCCTCACAGTTTAAATGACACCGAAGGGAATTTCAATTTAGATGTAAATGTTTCTCTGATTCACCGTCCTTTTCGGGAGCCTGCATGTACCCACGAGCGGAGCTAATAAGCGCACCTTTGCACCCACGGATGCACTTAAAAAAAAAAACCAATCCTTCCCTTTTTAACGGAAGCGTTAGCAAAGTGAGCAAATTTAAAATGTAATTAAAGCCCTCTCTTTAATAATTTTTATTATTATTTCTTGCCCAATTCAAAAAGCTGCGCCCGAGGACGTAACGCAGACTCCAAACATTTTTGTAAACATTTAAGAAAGAGGACGTCACCAGCCGCGTCTCCTCGCGACAACGCCGTGACGGCGTTTATTTATTCGCGGCGTTCCGTGCGTCGCAGAGAAGCGATCTTCTTTCAATTGGGAAACACTCGGAGGGCATTTTTTTCCGCCCGTGCGACGGGCGCTGCAGAACCCTAGGCGATCGCGTTTGATCTTCGTGCGCGACGAATGTTTTTACTTCGTTTCCACGAACGGCGTGTCCATGAAGATGCGATCCATTACGATTAAAGATTCATCATTTGACGGCAGTTTGATGGTAGGGTTGATAAAAAAAAATAACAACATCATCAAAATCATCAGCCGTGGGTTATTCCACCGCTGGATGATTGCCTGCCGAAGCTGCCACCACCAACCCTTACAATCTCAGCGCCTGCGCACGAACTGATTTCATCGCTCCATCTCCTCGGTGGATGTGCAGGAAGTCGTGGGTTCGATCACGACCCTGGCGCCTGCTGTATATTTGGAGTTTGCATGGTCTCTCTCTCTCTCTCCACGTGGTCGCGTGGATTTTTCTCCATTCCCTCCGGTTTTTTCCCTCCACATTTAAAATCCATGTGTGCTCAGAGTATTCGGCTTCTATACAATTTCCACGTGACAAGCCGCTTCATTTGGGGCTACCATTTGTGGCCAGGTCGCTTCTAAAAAAAGAGCTATATAGCTCAGTGGGCCGTACCTGGTAAAATAAAATAACCTGGCTAATTCTGAGCCGTGCCACGCTGGGCTGGCCCTGGCACGGCTCGGATGTGCCGGTGGAATTGAAATAAGTATAACCAGTAAAAACAAAGTTTTTCACTCTAAATCCTTTATATGCGTGGCGGCTAGAGTCCTCTCGTCCTCTGGCTTGAGATGGCTGCCACCTATGGGTCAGATGATTGTCTGCCAGTATTAAACAATTGGTAATTAAATATGAATTGTCTCGCACAACGAGTCTGTGTGCAAAATGTCAGCTCGATTGGATCACGGGAAGTGGGTTAAAAAACGACCGAAAGATTTGCACGGTCGTAAGCAATCAAGCAAGCACGCAAGCAAGCGAACTTAATATAAAAGATTTAAAAAAGTAGCGAGCGGTCAGGTTGCCAATGCGTCACGTTGTGCGAATTCTCTTCCGGCTTCGGCCCCCAGGAGCTCATCACGGCCTGGTACATCGGCTTCCTCACGCTCATCTTCTCGTCGTTCCTCGTCTACCTGGCGGAGAAGGACGACAACCAGGACCAGTTTGGGACATACGCCGACTCGCTGTGGTGGGGCACGGTACGTGGTGGTGGTGGTTGTGGTGGTGGTCGTGGTGGTGGTCCAAGTGAGGCTACACGTGCTGGACCAGGAGGTGGAGGAGTGGGGCGGGGGGCACCTGGTTAGATGGACTCCAAAAGCGAAACATATGTTTAAAAAAAAATCAATTTTCAATTAAGAGGACAAGTTACAGTGTAATTGTTTTGCTGAGTTAGAGATTAAAAAGTGACGAATGCCCTGATTTAATGCACACGCCACTGCCGTTAATTTGGGAAGATCTGAAACGGGCCCGTAGATAATTGTGCGAGCGCGCGCGTGTGTGTTTTGTCCCATTAATTTACTTGCAATCGTTACGTAGAATGAATTGCCCCGCAGCCCTTTTGTCAATCTCGCTGCCCGGACGAAGGCCTTGCCGTACTGCGTCCGTCTTGGGGGCCGTTTGATGGACTCCACTTAACCACGCTGGTTAGTGCGCGTTGATCAAAGTCAGGGTGAGAACAAGACCAGTTCATATACCACTCGCCACTGATGTTGTCCGTGGCCGGGAGTCAAACCCATGCAGTTTTGCTCGTGCGGGCGATTTGCTCATACCTCACCTGCTGCGGTCAGTGCGGGTTTGGCGAAGGGGGAGGATGCCAAAAAGGCCGTTGGGATATTGCTCGCCGGTGATGTTTGCCGTGGTGGTGGTGGTGGTGAAGAGAGCCAAAGGTCACCGGGTACATAGCGCGATGCATTCGCCACCGCACCACAGCCGCGCAATCACGCATAGCCATGCCGACGAGCGTAATAATAGAGTGTCTTGCATTATTGTTGCAATTACTATGGAAATTATTTATCTTGAGAGCTGAGAGGGTCATTTAGTTTCTCCATTTCCCCCCCCCCCCCCCACATTCGCACGTAAGCTGTATTTATCAGCTTGGGACGTGTATACGCATGGGTGGTGGGAGGGGGGGGGGAATGGTGGCGCAGTGGTGTGCACACGAGCGCTGTGATGGTGGCCGTCATCCAGCAGCGGGTCGACGCAGGGGCTGTGCATCAGTTGAATCTATAATTGTCGTCACGTGCGCACGTCAGCGAGCCAATTCGGCATGGGGAAAGATAACGGGGCAGCCCGGCAATGTGTCGCTCGCTCCCCGCCATGGGCGGAAAGCTCCTCCACGAGGGGGGCCTCTCTAACGCCGCTCTCGATGGCGCTGTCCGGTTTCGACACCTGGCCGGACGTCTCGGGAGATGGCAGTAGCCACGCTTCACTGGACGCGACCTGTATGTACGTGGGATGTTCAACTTCTATCGTAACCGTACGTAGCCAAATGCGCTAATCGCATTTGGGGGAAGGACTACGAACCAGACACAACAAGAAGCAGCTCTAGAGAAATGAGTTCTCAATGTGGATGATTTAAAAGTGCATAGCTCCAGCCGATTCCTGATATCGGAAGGGAGAGCCTTCCAGACGGCCGCAGAAGCGCATCTGAACGCGTGTGATGTGGTAAAAACTGTCTTTGTTCGATGACTATCCAAATGCTGTTGCGAGGATGACTGGAGTTCGCGTTACGGTTCATAGGCGCTGGTGTGCCTATTTATTCTCTTGTGCCAGGCCTATGCGAACCTTGCCGGCCGTTAGGTCTCATCGTTCGCTGCAGAGGGTCGCTTGAATCCATTTGCGTCAATTGCGATTGTGCACCGACATCCACAGCCCGAGGAGGAAGTCGTCGAAGCTAAACCGCGTGTCCCCCCTCGCGCAGATCACGCTCACCACCATCGGCTACGGAGACAAGACCCCTAAGACGTGGCTCGGCCGCCTGCTTGCTGCCGGCTTCGCCCTCCTCGGTGTCTCCTTCTTCTCGCTGCCGGCCGTGAGCATCGCTCGGATCCGTCTGTGTTACGGGACGAGCCCCCCCACCCCCCACCGTGCCCCCCCCCACCACCAATGTGTTTTCGCGTTGTGCCGCGTGTACCGCTCAGTGACTCGCTTTCTCCGCCTATAAAAACAACGAATGATAATTGACGTGTGTTCGTCACCACTGCTCGTGTCGCGCAGGGCATCCTGGGGTCGGGCTTTGCCCTCAAGGTCCAGGAGCAGCACCGACAGAAGCACTTTGAGAAGCGACGCTGCCCTGCTGCTCGTCTCATGCAGGTGCCCGTCACCACCCAGCGCTCATGAATTCCCCACCAAATTGCTCAGCACTCACAACATTTCCACTGGTAAGAGCTCTTTAAATCCCAACTACCCAGCTCATGAAATCTCAACTACCCAGCGCTCATGAATTCCCCACCAAATTGCTCAGCACTCACAACATTTCCACTGGTAAGAGCTCTTTAAATCCCAACTACCCAGCTCATGAAATCTCAACTACCCAGCGCTCATGAATTCCCCACCAAATTGCTCAGCACTCACAACATTTCCACTGGTAAGAGCTCTTTAAATCCCAACTACCCAGCTCATGAAATCTCAACTACCCAGCGCTCATGAATTCCCCACCAAATTGCTCAGCACTCACAACATTTCCACTGGTAAGAGCTCTTTAAATCCCAACTACCCAGCTCATGAAATCTCAACTACCCAGCGCTCATGAATTCCCCACCAAATTGCTCAGCACTCACAACATTTCCACTGGTAAGAGCTCTTTAAATCCCAACTACCCAGCTCATGAAATCTCAACTACCCAGCGCTCATGAATTCCCCACCAAATTGCTCAGCACTCACAACATTTCCACTGGTAAGAGGCTCTTTAAATCCCAACTACCCAGCTCATGAAATCTCAACTACCCAGCGCTCATGAATTCCCCACCAAATTGCTCAGCACTCACAACATTTCCACTGGTAAGAGCTCTTTAAATCCCAACTACCCAGCTCATGAAATCTCAACTACCTAGTACTTGTAAAATCCCAACTACCCAGCTCATGAAACCTCAGCTACCCAACTCATTAAATCTCAACTACCCAGCGCTCATGAATTTCCCACCAAATTGCTCAGCACTCACAACATTTCCACTGGTAAGAGCTCTTTAAATCCCAACTACCCAGCTCATGAAATCTCAACTACCTAGTACTTGTAAAATCCCAACTACCCAGCTCATGAAACCTCAGCTACCCAACTCATTAAATCTCAACTACCCAGCGCTCATGAATTCCCCACCAAATTGCTCAGCACTCACAACATTTCCACTGGTAAGAGCTCTTTAAATCCCAACTACCCAGCTCATGAAATCTCAACTACCTAGTACTTGTAAAATCCCAACTACCCAGCTCATGAAACCTCAGCTACCCAACTCATTAAATCTCAACTACCCAGCGCTCATGAATTCCCCACCAAATTGCTCAGCACTCACAACATTTCCACTGGTAAGAGCTCTTTAAATCCCAACTACCCAGCTCATGAAATCTCAACTACCTAGTACTTGTAAAATCCCAACTACCCAGCTCATGAAACCTCAGCTACCCAACTCATTAAATCTCAACTACCCAGCGCTCATGAATTCCCCACCAAATTGCTCAGCACTCACAACATTTCCACTGGTAAGAGCTCTTTAAATCCCAACTACCCAGCTCATGAAATCTCAACTACCTAGTACTTGTAAAATCCCAACTACCCAGCTCATGAAACCTCAGCTACCCAACTCATTAAATCTCAACTACCCAGCGCTCATGAATTCCCCACCAAATTGCTCAGCACTCACAACATTTCCACTGGTAAGAGCTCTTTAAATCCCAACTACCCAGCTCATGAAATCTCAACTACCTAGTACTTGTAAAATCCCAACTACCCAGCTCATGAAACCTCAGCTACCCAACTCATTAAATCTCAACTACCCAGCGCTCATGAATTCCCCACCAAATTGCTCAGCACTCACAACATTTCCACTGGTAAGAGCTCTTTAAATCCCAACTACCCAGCTCATGAAATCTCAACTACCTAGTACTTGTAAAATCCCAACTACCCAGCTCATGAAACCTCAGCTACCCAACTCATTAAATCTCAACTACCCAGCGCTCATGAATTCCCCACCAAATTGCTCAGCACTCACAACATTTCCACTGGTAAGAGCTCTTTAAATCCCAACTACCCAGCTCATGAAATCTCAACTACCTAGTACTTGTAAAATCCCAACTACCCAGCTCATGAAACCTCAGCTACCCAACTCATTAAATCTCAACTACCCAGCGCTCATGAATTCCCCACCAAATTGCTCAGCACTCACAACATTTCCACTGGTAAGAGCTCTTTAAATCCCAACTACCCAGCTCATGAAATCTCAACTACCTAGTACTTGTAAAATCCCAACTACCCAGCTCATGAAACCTCAGCTACCCAACTCATTAAATCTCAACTACCCAGCGCTCATGAATTCCCCACCAAATTGCTCAGCACTCACAACATTTCCACTGGTAAGAGCTCTTTAAATCCCAACTACCCAGCTCATGAAATCTCAACTACCTAGTACTTGTAAAATCCCAACTACCCAGCTCATGAAACCTCAGCTACCCAACTCATTAAATCTCAACTACCCAGCGCTCATGAATTTCCCACCAAATTGCTCAGCACTCACAACATTTCCACTGGTAAGAGGCTCTTTAAATCCCAACTACCCAGCTCACGAAACCTCAAATCCCCAGTGCTCGTAAAATCCCGAATGCCCAGCTCATGAAACCTCAGCTACCCAACTCATTAAATCTCAACTACCCAGTGCTCTTGAAATCCCAACTACCCAGCTCATGAAACGTCAAACTACCCAGTGATCTTTAAATGTCAACTACCCAATTCACAAAACCTTAATATTTCAGTGCTCGTAAAATCCCAACTAGACAGCTCATGAAAACTCAGCTACCCAGTGATCTTGAAATCCCAACTACCCACTTCATTAAATCCCAACTACCCAACTCATGAAATCCCAACTACCCAGTGCTCTTGAAATTCCCATCACTCAGTGGCAGTAGATTGTGAAATAATGATACATGGCTGTTGGGGTGGGCAAGTTTCAAATAAAGCTCGGTGAGAACTCGAAACACCGGGCTGAGTCTCATTTGCAATAGTGATCTGGGTCAACGAATTGACAGCAGCTAAATAAATAAAACAATGTACAGCAATGAAGCGAACACGAATCAGGGCAAAGCGACCGGTGTAGCGGTCACTGCCCCAGCCCTGCCGTCTCTGCGGCTGATGTGAGATTGCTTTGCGTTGGCGTGACACCTTGGACGGGGTCACGGAGAGCGAATATTGCAGAGCAGACTGCAGGGTTCCACGGAGCTCATAGGAGCGCTGCTTGACTCCGTAACTACACATATAACATTTCGATTTAAAGCTTTCGTGACTGCAGGGATTCATCTGCTTGGTTCTTTCGGTAAAGTCACGTAGAAGGGAAATAATAAAATAATAAAAATAAAACATAATAAAATCATTCTCACGACGTTTCGGCCACAACGCAAGCAGCCGTCCTCAGGTGAAGAACAGGTCTGTCGGAAAGACAGCGTCCGACAGACCTTTTCTTCACCTGAGGACGGCTGCTTGCGTTGTGGCCGCAACGTCGTGATAATTATTTTATTATTTTTTCTTTTTATTATTTGCTTGCGTTGTGGCCGAAACGTCGTGAGAATTATTTTATTTTGTTTTACACATATAACATTTACCGAGTGCTGGGGTTTTCGTTTTCAAAAGGTGCCCAAACAACACATTGAGAAATAATGCGACAGGGGAAAGGTTTGGGGGCATTGCCACTTGTTTGAAAATTGCAGGAGGGCATCTGGCTGGACATAAGGATGCGCTCTGACAATGCTGCCACCAACCTCAAGCCAAAGGATGTTTGTTGGTCAAACATTTGCTGATCTTCTTTCCCATCTTCTCATCCCTGATTAAATATTTCCATTGCTCAGCTGTCATACCTTAATATGCGCCATAGCAAATACACGCGCCGGCTATTTTGGACATCGACTTTGTGTAAATGCATCTGCTTAGGTGCCCTCTCTCTGGGGGAGCCAGTGGGGGTCACGTTCATTACCGACACAAAAAAAACACACGAGCGATGGACGTGTGGACCGATAGATGGTGAAATAAACACTTACATTAGCAAATTAATAATACATTTCCATTGCCTCCATGGGACCAGTGGCACCAGATTGGCTGCTGTATAACCAACGTTGTCTGTACAGACACCACCCAGTGTCAATGTTTGCGCAGGGAGCCTCAGATTTATGGAAGAAATTAAATCAATTTTTGAGAAAAGCCGTTTCATTAAATGGAATGCTTCCCCGCTTGTCATTTTAAATTCATATTTTTCACCTGGATATGTCATTTGTACGGGTGTCCAGGCTGTTTATTGACACGTACATAACACACACGGAATGACGCGTACACACACACACGCATTCAACAATGTACGTATGTATGTTGAACTTCTTTCGCACCGTTCGTAGCCAACCGTGATAATCGGAGGTGCGGGGGAAGGACAACACACTAAACACAAAAAGCACTTCTAAGGAAATGAGTTTTCAATCTATATTTTTTTTAAATGCCACGTACACACACATTGAACAATCAGGAGGATGATAGGTAATGTCTAATGACAGAAGCACAAAATAAATTTCTTCTTGGAGACCATTTTGTGACCGCAAGTCTCCGAGTCAAACTAAATACATTGTACAGTAGTGTAGTGGTGAGCACACTGTGCCATGAGTTAAACAAACACATTCTAAATACTGTACTGTCATATATGTTTTTTTAACTGGAATTACAGAGGGGATGAAAATAGACGATGGCTTTGAGTGATCTCTCTGGCCATGTAAGATCACGAAGTTGAGCGGTAGGACGTTAGTTTCATACAAAAATGTGGTGCTGTCGAGTAAGTAGATATCGAGTGATGGTGTGTTAGAGAGTCAAGCTTGTCTGGTCTAAATGTTATTGTTGGGTAGTTCACTGAAGGTCCTGTACGGTGACGAGCTTCCGTGTCGGAATTTAAATTGAGTAAGTCTTTGGGTGGAATATACTATTATCTTTCCGGAGGATGTGGTTTCTTGAAATGTCTGACCAATGTTGGTCGGAGAGTGGTTTGATGGGCACATTTTTTTTCCCCCACAGGGAGAACATCTCTGGCATTACTAGAGTAATGCGTGCCGGCAGAAGGGTCACATTGTAGAGAGTGTGCGATGGGACAATAGTCGGATTTCTAGGTTCATCACCATCGGTCATGGTCAATCCACTGCTGGATGAAGGCATACCCAAGTTGTCGCCACCTCTCATGACTCACCGATGTAACACTCGACCTCGAACCTGTACAGGAGCTGATCTCATCGCTCCATCTCTGTGGCGGACGTACTCCCTGTTTGCGTCCCGTCGCCAACGACGATTGTTCATCACGTGTCAATCAAATTTAAGGTCATTAAAAATGTAAACATCAGAGCTGGAATTTTAATAAATAAAGTGAAATATGCATTTAATATGACATTTTGAGCTTCCAATCACCACTGTGGCGAGGTGTTCATGTATGTTGAACTTATTTTGCACCATACGTAGCTAATTGCGCTAATCTGAGGTGACTCCCTCGCCTGGTATTCAGCAGGTACGTGGGTTCGATCCCGACCCTGACGGCTGTATATATTGGGAGTTTGTATTTTCTCCCCGTGGTCGCGTGGATTTTTCTCCGGGTTCTCCGGTTTTGCCCTCCACAGTTAGAGTCAACGCGCGTTTAAGAGTATTTGGCTGCGATACATTTGCACGCGACAAGCCACTTCGTTGAGCTATCATTTGTGGCCAGGTCGCTTCTGAAAAATATCTATATAGCTCATTGGGCCTTACTTGGTAAAATAAAAAAAAAATTGTTTATCGTTTTTTTTTTATAGACTGGACTGAAACCATTCACTCAACATTTGAGAACCCAATTTTCTCAAGCGCAGCTTTGAACCCAGCTTTGAGCCTCAGGACCTCAGCAATGCCGGCTCAGCACTCAAACCCTTGAGTCACCCGGGCGCCTCCGGATGTTTTGGAATTAAAACTGAGATATTCATTGCATTAGCGAGAGCAAATAGCAAAGGGAGTGATTCACCCGCACTTGATCAGTCCGTTTAATATGACCACAAGCTTTAGTTAATTTGTCTCATTAGGCCCCCTTGATTTGGCTGTCTGAACCTTAGGCATTTCCCTTGAGCGAAGGAATCTGCCCACCCAGATTGTTTCACGCCTCTGGCAAAGTTTTTTGCAGCAGAATCGTTCCAACGACAACGCCGTTTTCTCGGTAATGGCCTCCCAAACAAGGATAAATGCGGCACCAAAAAATAAATAGATTCCAATTGGGGGACAAGTGGGTCGGTGGCGGGGGGGTGGCCGGATTGCTCATGGGCCAGAGATCTGAGACCGACCATCAGTTAGGATCCATGTTTCAGCGTGGGGAGGGGCTGGGTGGGGAGGGGAGGGTGGGGAGGGGCTAGATGGGGAGGGTGGGGCTGGGTGGGAGGTGGGAGGGGTGGGGCTGGGTGGGAAGGGGCTGGTCACCCCTTGGTGCCCTTATACAACTCAACGTTTAACCTACTCACGCCGGCTTGTGCCCGCCCTCACAGTCGGCCATATTTGCGGAATACACCACGCCGCCGTTGACCCTGGCCATTGACCGAGCAACCCAACGTTCCTACCAGCTCCCTACGCAGGAATGTGTTTTGGACATTTATAGCAGCTAAATAATGCATATAGTCTACACGCACGTTTCTAAATGTTAAGGGGAAAACCGGAGAACCCGTCACAAGAAGTTCACGCGACCACAGGGAGAATGCGCTAACTTCAATTATACAGCAGGCGTCAGGGTCGGGACCGATCCCCCGACCTCCTGCATACCACGCGTGGTAGATAACATCATGCCACCGAGGATGGCCTCACCCAAAAACACCTATTCTGCATCACGATGCTGGCTGCGGTTAAACGTTGCTCGTTAAGAGTAATGTTTGAGGGCCGCAGAGTGGTGCAGTCCTGACACTCGTGGCTCACAGCAAGAAGCGCCTGGGTTTGATTCCCGACTCGGGTGCCTCCTCTGGGCGGCGTTTGCGCGTTCTCCCGGCGTTCTGCACGGATTTCTTCCGGGTTCCACGTTTTCATCTCGCAGCTAAAAAGCTAAAAAAAAACCCACACAATATAACTGGAATTTTGCTAACATCCCAATGCTGCCAAATTATCTGCAGATTACTCCATGGGCGTTCTATCGTGAGCAACATCGCCCCGGCTTTCGTGGGTCAACGAGCGCGATAATAAACGAAAATACATTTGTTTCTTGCAGTGCACGTGGCGGTGCTACGCAGCTGACGTGAAGTCTCTGTCCGTGGCGACGTGGAAACCTCACCTGAAGGCTCTGCACACCTGCAGCCCCGTCAAGTACGACCGCCGGCACCACTACCGCCACGGCCACCACTGCCACCACCACCGCCAACACCGCCGCCACCACCACCACCGCCACCACAGCCACGACCACCACTACCGGCTGCTACCACCACTGCTGCCGCCACCACCACCACCACCGCCATGACCACCACCACTACCGCCACCACCGCCGCCACCGCAGCCACCACCACCATCACCGCCACCGCCACCACCACCACTACTGCCACCACCACCACTGCCGCCAACGCTCGCCCCCCGCGAAATAAATTTGCTTGTGGTCATACGGCCGGGGCCGGCACGCAGGGGCACGCTGGGGTGGGGGCCTACACTGCCAAACGACCCTTTGGTCCCCACCCGAGTTCACTCACCCACAGGGGCACGGTGACTGTCGAGGTGCCCCCCCCCCCCCCCAATCGACTGCATTGCGAGAAAATGTCACCGTTTAACTGAGGCTCTGGATCGAGATGCCTCGCTGCTGGGTTCGCCGGTTGTTCCCGGTGCTGTTAACCTCCACGTGCTGGCGGCTTGTGGATGAACTGCTGCGTTCTGAGCAAGCTGCCAGCAACGTCGAGGGAAATGTCGGACATCGTGCCGAACAACACGCGGTACGAACACGAAAACTCATCGGCAGCGCTCTTCCAGAGTGGTGGGGTGCGGGGTCTGGGGCGAATCCCGCCGTGTGGGCCCACCCGCCCCGACCCCTTCAGACTAAAGCGGGGAAGTATGACATCTGACACCGTGACGGCGAAGCGCGGGACCCCCCAAGTTGTGGGGCCCAGGGCGGTCGCCCCCGAATCGCCGAACCCCGAGGGACGGCTCTGGCCACGGGCGTGAAAACGTTACTCAGAGTTATCTCGTCAGGACAAAGCCTTCCCATTCCAAGACATCGGCAAGTTGCAGAGTGTCCCGTTCACCGATGAATCTCGGAACGCGCAAGCAGTTAGCGTAAATTTTATTTAGAGATGCTTAGCGCCGTTGTTTTTTTAAAAGACATTGTACTCACCGCAGAGAACTGTAGCGACACGACCGCACTTTCTGATATCTGCCGCCAAACTGTGCCGCTCGCCCTCCCGCATGGCCGTGCGGGAGCCTCGCTACCAATACATCGTAAGAAAAGCAACAGATTTCGATTTAAGCTTTCGTGACTGCAGGGATTCATCTTCTTGGTTCTTTCGATAAAGTCACGTAGAAGGGAAATAATAAAATAATAAAAATAAAACATAATAAAATAATTCTCACGACGTTTCGGCCACAACGCAAGCAGCCGTCCCCAGGTGAAGAACAGGTTTGTTGGAAAGACAGTGTCTGAATGAACACCACCACGCTTGGCAGCGTATATTTAAGCTGGGTTGGAGGGGGAAGAGCGCCTTGACAAAGGAATTTGCATATCAAGAGAAATTTAGCAACAGAGGTTGTCATCATCATCATCATCGTCGTCTCGATTTAAAGCTTTCGTGACTGCAGGGATTCATCTTCTTGGTTCTTTCGGTAAAGTCACGTAGAAGGGAAGTAATAAAATAATAAAAATTAAACATAATAGCAGCTGCTTGCGTTGTGGCCGAAACGTCGTGAGAATTATTTTATTATGTTTTATTTTTATTATTTTATTACTTCCCTTCTACGTGACTTTACCGAAAGAACCAAGAAGATCATCGTCGTCGTCGTCATTTCGCCTCCGTCGTTCCCCCGCAGCCACAAGCCGAGTTTCCGCGAGCGCGTCCGCCTCTCGAGCCCCCGGGGTCAGACGGGCCGGGGCAAGAGCGCGTCCCCCGCGGGGAGGGCGAGGGCCCCCGGGGTCGGCGGGGTGCGCCGCTCCCCCAGCGCGGACACGGGACTCGAGAACAGCCCCGCGCACGTCCAGAAGAGCTGGAGCTTCAACGACCGCACGCGATTCCGCCCGTCGCTGCGTCTGCGCAGCTCCAGCTCCAGGCACTACTCCGGCGAAGGTGAGCCCGGGCGGTCGAGATAAAAAAAAACTAAAACTAAAACTTGGAATACATTTTTTTTGACAGGTAAAGGCTTTTCAGAAGCGACCTTTGCCATCGCGGATGATACGTCAACGATAAGGCGGACTTGTCATCGTGTGGAAATTTATAGCAGACAAATACTCGCACGTTGATTCTAAATGTGGAGGGGTCTGGAGAAAAATCCAAGCGACGACGGGGAGAGAGACAACACGCAAACTCCACATATACAGCAGGCGTCAGGGTCGAGATCGAACCCACGACCTCCTGTATACCAGGAGAGGTAGTTAACATTTCCTAGCCACCGTGATGAAGATGAGAGACACGCAAACTCCAAATATACAGCAGGCATCAGGATCGAGATCGAACCCACGACCTCCTGTATACCAGGCGAGGTAGTTAACATATCCTAGCCACCGTGAATAAGATGAGAGATACGCAAAATCCACATATACAGGCGACAGGGTCGAGATCGAACCCACGACCTCCTGTATACCAGGCGAGGTAGTTAACATCCCCTAGCCACCGTGGTGTGATATGTCCTCCTCCCGCCTGCCCGCCACGCAGCGCCCAGCGTTGATGTTTTTGTTGTTGTCCTCGCTGGGGCCAGCAACGCGGCGGTTTTGGCGAATGTGTTGAGGTTCGTTGTTTGGGCCCTACGCACCGCTGCCGACGCAGCCTCGCGCGGGGACTCACACGAGAGATGCGGGGACGGGCCACGCAGCGTCAGATTGCTGAGGAGCACCGTGCGAGCATCGGCGCCCGTGCTGTGCCGAGTGTGCTGGGAGAGGGGGGGTCAGGGGCTGGTTATTGGGACGACCCCTGCTCAGAAACTCAACGTGAATCCGAGGACGTGGCGAGGCCTCGGAAGGTCAACAGCGCCAGACTTCTACGGTACTCGGTGCAGGGCGATGGATCCCAGTTCTGCAGTTGTCTTGCTCAACCCCCTCTTCGAAATGATTATTTCAGTAAAATGTTAAACACCAGGGGTGGTTTCGACTCGGGTGAAAACGTGAGTAGAGCCTTTCCTCATTCACACTGCAGGCGGGGGGGGGGGTGGGGGGGGTGAGAGAGCTGGAGAAAAATGCACCAGACGATAGTAAGTCGTACCGGTTACTCATTCGGGTCTGGCTTTTAACATTCACCACCATTGCCCCCCCCCCCCATCCACCAATTATTTGTCTCTCGGTTCTCCAGTCTCCTCTCACGCCAAGCGCCAAGTTCACATTTCGCGAAGGTGACAGATTGCGCCTGATCTCGGAAGCCAAGCAGGCTTCGCCAGCCGGCTTTGTCACGTGGGTGGAAGTCTTTCTCGGAAAGCCGGGCGTTGTTTGTCGGCTTGGGGCGTGAAACTGGCCAGGAAGTGGCAACTCAGGGACATTTACTGAATCCAATTGCGAGCTGAGCTCAAATGCGCTACTCCCTCCTACTTTGTGTATCGACCTGTGGCCGTCACGCGTTCATACGGGATCGGATCAAGCCCTCAAAAAGAGTTCTTGGCACGGAGTGCATACATCAGCGCTGGGGAGGCAAAGGTGGCCGGGCGTGGTGCCTGGCCACCCTGAGTCTCTGCGTGCCTGTGTGTCAAACGTGTCTGTCTGTGGGTCTCTCTGTCAGTCTAGGGGTCTATTTGTGAGTCAAATGAAAACATATGAATCTTTGATTCTTTCAAATTTTCACTCCCACCATGGCGCTCTGGGGCATTCTCACCCCATTTCCACCACCACTGCCTGCAACTCGCGTGCTGCGTGGGTCTTCATAGGTGCTACTCGCTCACGGCACTTGCCCCTAACGGTCTATTGAAAGGCTATACGGGGGATCTTTGTCTTTGTGCACGCAGGGGGTTACGCCAGCCTGAGTGTGGACGATGCCCTCGATCAGAAGCGCTGCCACTGCGATGTGTCAGTCGAGGACCTCACGCCCGCCCTCAAGACGGTCATCAGAGCTGTCAGGTGCTCTCCCCAACATCACCACCACCACCACCATCATCAGCAGCAGCAGCAGCCATGCTCTCTCCATTGCCACGGTCAGACCTCCCCCCAAAACGTCGCCATCTCCCGCGACCCTGCGGTGTTTTAACGGTCCATCTCGTTCCCGCGTACGAGCTCGTCTCATTTATTGGCTCCATCTCCGCGGCGCACGTTCATCCTCAGACGCCGTTCCATCATCAGCCTCGTCCGTCGGCAACCGTTCCGTCTAGCCCAAGCCCTTACCCTGTGCGCGAGCTGTTTTCTTCCCTCCAACTCCGTAGTGGACGCATTTCTGAGTGCGTTCCGTCCCGAGGCTGCCACGCTAACATTCGTCTCGACCACCGGCCGGCCAAAATCACCTTCCAGCGACGTGGCCCCCGTGCCCCTCCTGGACATCTGTGAAAAAGGGCTCTATAATAGCTCATCGGATTCCTCCAATGTAAATAAAGATTCAGATTTCAATTCTTTCTCTCACTTTGATTCCAAGTGTCCGTTCACCTCTCCACGCCTCTTTGGGCACTTTAAAATGTTAGTTCAAAAGTTATAATAATTTGACAACGTCCACGGTAATAATCACGAACCAAATAATGGAACGCGACATGTACCTCGATAAGAGCGTTTTAAATCAAGCGAACGTCAGTTTATGAAATCCCCCCCCCCCCCCCAACCGCCACTGCCTCTGCCCACCCAGCAGTGTGAATGGTCGCACCATGAACCAGTCGATCAGCAGGCCGGTGGCGTGAAGTGTGGTTTCGCCCGCCTCTTCCCCATGCCATCAGGCCAGGGTGGAAGAGGAGGCCAAAGTGTGTCCTCGAGGGAATCTCTGGAGCTCTGTAGAGCCCCCTCTAGTGGGTCGGCTCTTGTCGCCAGCAGTGGCAAGAGCAAGCAGTTTCAGGGCTGCTCCTTTACCTTAAACGAATCACTCGAACCGTGCAATGGCATCGTCACATGGGTGATGATGGGGCCCGCTCTCGAAACCTGGCAGTGGGACAGGAACTGAAATAAAAGATAAAGGTGCAGCCCTGAAAGTTATTGCTCACGCCACTGCCGGCAGAAGGGTCTCGACTAGAACGAATTATCGACTGTATTTGGTCTACTCTTTCACGTTGGACCTAAAACGTATTTGAAAGAGGCGGGAAGTTACCGACACTGTGCCCCGCCACACGCGATCTGTCAGACAGAGGTGGGGGACTTTGAGAAACTCGTAAATTGTTTCAACTGCCGTGCCGGGAGACTGAACCGGTGACCTCTGACCTTGCAAATGCAGTGCGACAACCATTACCCCACGGGAGAGGTGGAAACAAACACAGACACAATCCTACGGTGACATTTTTAGGAAACGAATGGCTATGATGCTGATTATCAATCACGTTTCGCATTCAGCAAACAAAAACCTCTAATTTTTTCGCCTCACCTTTGGCAAATTCAATTTGCAATGATCGCAATCTCGTGAATATCAATGATGAATACGCCCGCACGGACACTTGAAACTGTATATGCTGCAAAAAACTTTTATCTGCAGCCCACTATTCGCAGACACAGAATCCAGATTGTGTTATTCACTTCATATTTATTTCATATCTGCCGAATTAAATTTGGCCTGCAAGGCTTGACTTTTTTTTTGCCGCCGGCTTCTCTGCATAAATTTGGGGTGAAATGAAGTTCAGCATCGGGAGCAACGTCACCACGTCCCTCGCCATTTCCACCGGCACTCGTGCCCCGTCAGCTTTAGATCTTTCCTCTGCGCCTTGAAGAGTTCTTTGCAACTTTGTTGGAGCCCGTATACATGCACGCAAAGACAAAGATGCACCGTGTAGGCGACATTGGCTGATCGGGAAGGAGAGCTGTAAGCCAGCACCCATCCCGATCAGAATATGTATTTATACTCGAGGAATCCATGAGCTATAAAGATAGTATTTCACTGATGTCCAGTAGGTGCGGGTCAGAACGTTACAACAACAAACAATACAAAAACACAAAATGAGCGTAGAGTATAGGAAATGTAAGCAAATCACTCAAAAATATCTACAAATAAAACTAAACTTTTTTTTTCTTACCCCTTAAGGCCAACACAGCTCACGAGGTGGTCATGTGCCCAACACCACGCCCGGCCACCTTTGTCTCCCCATGGGCGATGTTTTTACGCACCGCACCGGGTACTCATTTGAGGCTGAGTCGACCCAGGGGAGGCCCAGGACCGGTTCAGACAATCGTCACATTGGTTTTGGCCGTGAGCAGGAATCGAATTCGGGTCGCCGGGTTACACACACAAATACACACAAATACACAAACACAAAATTGATTCACATTTCTTCCTCATCCTCCTCTTCCCACCAGGATAATGAAGTTCCTGGTCGCGCGCAGGAAGTTCAAGGAGACGCTGTGCCCATACGACGTGAAGGACGTCATCGAGCAGTACTCCGCGGGACACCTCGACATGCTGTGCCGCATCAAAAACCTCCAGTGCAGGTCTGGCAGCTGAAGCCGCGGCCTTGCAGCTCACTTTGCCAGCGCCCCGCGCGGCGCGATCGCACGCGAGCGCTCTCCCTCTACGGCCGTGCATTGATTATAATAATTTAGCGGCGTTTGGAAATCGCCCCCTTCTTGTTGTTGCGGTGGCTGTCACGGCTGGCTCTTGCGCTTCACAGAGCATGGTCTGCGGAATTGCCGCAGCGAGGGGCCATTGTCGCGGCGGTGTGTAATCCGCAATCGATAATTTTTTAGCAGGTACATTTTTTTTATTTAAAAAATTTGCCAAATTTTTTTTTATTTCAAAAATGTGCAAAACATTTTTTATAAATTTTTTTTGCAAATTTGGAGCGTGACGCCGACACACGGTGGCCTACGGTTAATCTGCCCCCCCCCCCCCCCCCCCGCGATAATAACCAGGGTAGCCTACTGGAATCGAACCGTGGACCTCTGCAACGTTGTCATCTTTTTCCACTTCCCTCGCCCCTCAACTCTGTCCCGTCCCTCCCCTATAGCCCTTTTGTGATCGCCACCCCCATTCCCCCCAATGTGCCCTCTGTTACAGTCACTCATTCCTTTGCCCCTCCCTCACCCCCTGCCATATAAATCAGTATATTTTTGTTACCGCTCTTAAACTGTGTAAAGCAATTTTTGAGAAATGCCGCTTCAGTAAGTGGAATGCTTTCCCGCTTGTCATGTTGTAGTTTTCAAAATTAATATTTTTCACCTGGATATGTCATTTGTACGGGTGTCCAGGCTGTTTATTGACACGTACATAACACACACGGATTGACGCGTACACACACACACACATTCAACAATTTACGTATGTATGTTGAACTTCTTTCGTACTGTACGTAGCCACCCACGCTAATTGGAGGTGGGCGGAAAGGGCAACAAACTAAACGCAAAAAGCAGGTCGAAAGAAATTAGTTTTCAATGTATGTGATGATTTAAAAGTGCATAGCTCCAGCGGCTTCCTAATATCGGAAGGAAGAGCGTTCCAGACGGCCGCAGAAGCGCATCTGAAAGCGCACGACGAGGCAACCGTCGTGTTTTGTTCAGCCAAAAGCCGCCGCTACGATGGCGACCGGAGCGCCTTCGGCTGAGGCGCTCTATAAATAAAATATAAGATGAGACAAATAGCTAGCACTGGGCCGTGCAAGCACTAATCAACACGCGTGATATCGCCGTGCGAAAACACGTACGCTGCACTGCGCTCCGCTAACCACTTCAAGTACAAAGAACCACCCGTCCTGCGCCCCCAAGTGCCCTGTGTCTTTCTTTCTCTGTCTCTCTTTGTCTCTGTTTTCGCCTTCGCACAGAGATTGGGTTTGCTTTATCTATTGAAAATATGCCCCATGACCAAATCGTCAGATCTCGGAAGCTTAAGCAGAGTTGAGCCTTGGATTAGAGTTGCCACCTGCAAGGTAAAAATAAGCCAGGACATCACGTGGGAAGAAGTTTATCTCACAAGAGCACAAGAGAGCAGGACTACGTGTAAATGTAAATCACGGCCACCCCGTCTGGATCACAGCAGCCTCACTCCACGCCACAAATGCAAACGAAGGCGAGAGATGGAAGCGAGAGTCTGGACTGCGGCCGACGTCAACAATGAACGTATCGTACGGCGGACCCCTTACCGGTCGAACCTTCCCCGGTTTCAACCGTCCACGCCGCCCAATTGGCGACCTGTGAACCGAATCGGCACGCGGCGTCACGTGGCCGATGCGGCCACCTCGTGCCGCAAAAGGTGGCGGCCGCGAATCCCAAACCGTCGATCACCAACCCCATCGTGAGCACTACGCCCCCGCTGCTGTTGCCTGCTGCCTTCACTCCTGTAAAGGAGGAATGGACGATGATCCACTCGGCTTCTGAGCAGACAATTGAGTGGATAACAACATCTCAAATTACATCTTTTAATCCGCTGTTATTAATCCATACGAAATAAGTGGTGAGGTCGCTTCTGAAAAAGAAAGCGATGTAGCTCAGTGGGCCTTACCTGGTAAAAAGTAAAAAAAATATTATCGCGCAACTGAATGATGAATAAATCATATACAGGGCTTTAAATTTCTGTTCATACAGTAAAACCTTGGATTGCGAGTAACTTGATCTGCGAGTGTTTTGCAAGACGAGAAATTTTTTAAAATAAATATTACTTTGATAAACGAGCGAGGTCTTGCAATACGAGTATTACATGTATACGCTTTGTCTGCCGAGCGTCACTCATATACGAGTGTTTTGATATACGAGTGCTTTGGATTACAAACAACGTTTCCGGAACGAATTATGCTCGCAATCCAAGGTTTTACTGTATTTCCCAAGACAGTTCAGCAAGAGGATGATCCTGGGAATGCCAGGCCAGGTGGCAACCCCGAGCCAGGATAGTGCTTGGATGGGTGACCACCACCCTCTGGTTGCTATAGGCTTCACGGGGCTTGCTTCAGCGGGCAGCAGAGGGCAGTACAGAAAAATGCATGGTTGTACTGTACTTCTAGTGTGCACTTACAGCGTTGTACATGGGCGGGAGCGTTATCTAAACCTGTTCAGCAGCCCCCCATCCCTCTCCCTCTTCCCCTTCACCAGTGACGAGTGAGGTGGTGGGGTTGGGTTAAATAACCCCCACAGCTCGCAAGGTGCGGGGAGGCCCTCATCCAGCAGTGCGTTGAGTAACGGGGGCGCCACGGTGGCGATATGTATAGTCCGTCGCCTGCTCTGCAGGAGGTCATGAGTTCGATCCCGACCCTCACGCCTGCTGCTGTATATTTGGAGTTTGCATCTTCTCCTCTTGGTCGGGTGGATTTTTCTCCGGGTCCTCCGGTGTTTCCCTCCACATTTCGAAACTTGCTTTGAGAGTATTTTACTGCTTTAAATGTCCACGTGATAAGCCACTTCGTTGAGCTATCATTTGTGGCCAAGAATATGAATCCCTGCAGTCACGAAAGCTTTAAATCAAAATTTTATTGGAACGTTGTTAGAAACAATATTACAGTGAGTATGCAAATTGCCCTGATGGCTTTTTCTTTTCGTTGTTGTGTTTTTTGTTGTTGCCACTAGGGTCGACCAAATTCTCGGCAAGGACAACTTGTCCAGCGTGGAGCGGCAGAAGGCGAAGGAGAGGGGCCAGCCCAGGTCAGAGGTCAGAGAAGACCAGAGCCTCATGGGAAGGGTGGTTAAGATGGACAAACAGGTGCGTGATGGTTTGATTTCCCTTCTCCCCGAGTCACGCGTGCACGCGTTAGTGTGCCTGTGTACGCCTCGGTGTGTGAGTGCGTGTCTGCGTGCATGTGTCTGTGCAACTGCGTATCTGCGCGCACGTGTGTGCATATGTTTGCATGTCTGTGCGTGTTTGTATGTGTACGCCTGCGTGTGCATGTGTCGACTCGGCCTCAGATGAGTCACCTGGTGCGATGGGTAAACACCCCGCCACGAGGGAGACAAAGGCGGCCCGGCCTTCATAGGTGCTCGCTAACAGCACTTGCCCCAGCAGCCTGTGCAGGCTATAGGGGGATCTTTGTCTTTGTTTTTTGTGTGTATGTGTGTGCATGTTGTGGGGAGCGCGAGTGTAGTAGTTAGCGCACTACATCTGTGACTATTATCTTAACTGGTCCTGGGCCTACCCTCGGTCAACTCAGCCTTAAATGAGTGTCTGGTACGATGTGTAAACATCAGCACTGGGGATATTTAGACAGCCCATGCGTGGTGCTGGCCACCCACCCCCTCGTGTGCCATGTTGGCTTTCTCAGGTGCTCGCTAACAGCACTTGCCCCAACAGTCTGCCGAGGCTACGCGGGGGGGGGGGGGGGGGGGGGCGAATCTTTGTCTTCTTATGTGAGCAGACAACAACAAGTACTGATATTTTAGTGCACACAAACGACAGGAGGTACAAGAACCATGTTCATGCATAATGCGCGTTGATTACCGCGTGAGTAACCCAACCGGCAATGGATACCCATTGTCAATCATACGGATAAATTGATCCCCCCCCTCGCACAAGAAGGGCTCGCAAGTGACGTCATCACATCTACGCCTCTCTTTAAGGAACGAAGCCGGAGGATTTCTCCACAGATCTGGCTGCCGCCTGATGAAGCTAGTTGTAATTATTGGCGAAACGTCGAACTCAGATTGTAACTGTTGTGGATTTGCTCTTCAACACACCGGTGTGCTGTACTATTGTTTACTTGACAAACCTTACTAATTAGCTGCGTCGGGTGGTGGCGGGTTTAACGACACATTTATATATTTACGCGATCTAACCCAAAAAAACCCTCGATTTTGAATCTTCGTCTTCATTTGCACTCGCGCGAATCGTTTCGCTCCGCAGGTGCAGACGATCGAGAAGAAGCTGGACTTCTTAATCGACTTCTACCGCCAGTCCCTGGGCAAGGGGCCGCCCAAGATGCACACGGCCATGAGCCAGTCGAACACGGAGAACAACACGGACTACGAGACGCCGGACGACCAGGCGTCCTCGCTCGAGATCACCGAGACCACGTGCGTGGCCACGTCGCCGTCCAGCAACGGCAACCACCTGAGCCAGGGCCTCTCCGAAGACAACGACCTCGCGCTGTCCCCGCGCGGCAGCCCTCCCGCCTCCGCGAACGTCGCCGCCGAGTGGCTCCAGGTTCCCGACCAGAAGGAGGAGGCGGCCATCAGCTGGAGCTCGCAGAAGTCCCACCTGACCCTCCCGGTGCCTTCGTTCATGTCGTCCACGGACCAGAACATCACCATCGTCATCAGCCCGTCGACGTCGGACGATGTCCTGGCCGCATGCGACGGTTCCATCCCCGTTCCTCCTCCCGCTCCGCTCTCGCCGGTCTGTCGCGGCGAGCTCTCCAAGGTGTTCGGCGCTCGCTGCGGCAACGGCAACGCGGTGGGGCCGATCTTCGCGGCGGCGGCGGCCGGCCTGGGCGGAGCGCCGTGGTCCGACAGCATCCTGAGCGTGGAGGACTTGCCGTCGCTCCACACCGTCAAGGAGATCGACGAGCAGCTGGCGGCCGACGATCTGTCCGGCGAGAGCCTGCAGAGAGTCGGCGGAGACGCCGCCGCCGCCACCGCCACCACCGCCGAGCCGTCGCACATGACTCTTTTGCCGCTCGGGCCGCGATCGTCCGCTGAGATGGAGTTTGGAGGCTCGGCTCAGCAGCAGCAGCACTTACAGCGCATCACCGATAAGCCGGACTTAATATCACTTCCGTAAAAAAAATAAAATTGTACGCACAAGCGTTTTTTTTTTTTAACCCCCCCCTCCTCCCCCTTTCCTCCGTGTAATTCTCACTGTTGTTACCGCAAAACGATATTTTAAAGATTTGGACCGCATCAAACGAATGCGTTGCGTAGTCGACCTAATAATGTGAGTAGCCGAAAAGATAGGATTTATGAACCCATACTGGGGCTTTTGCGAATGCAGTTTTTTTTGCTGCAGGTAGTGAAGTGGGGGGGAGGGGTGGCTGCGGTGGGTGGGAGAGGGAAAATTGGGCCATCCACCCACCCACCCCACCCTCATCGACCACCCGCCAAGATGCGGTGGCTGCCCCGGTGGTATGTGGGCGTCTCTGGGGCAGCGTTCGTTCTTTCCTCCCGACGATCGTTCACAGGCGGCGTTGACCGCGCCCCGGACTCACCACCTCGACTGTCTGTAACCCTTACCCCCCCTCCCCCCTGAATTGTATAAAAAGTGGAATGGACCAATAGTCGACCAATGTTAATCATAGCCGTTGAAATGTTTACAAGACTGCTTTCATTTTAAGTCCTGAGCATGCTATTACCTATAATGTGCAATTACCTTTAATAATAACCAAATCTGTGCTGGTGCATTTCGCAGCTATATAAATGCAGCGTGTAGACTTTTACAAGCGTACTCACACAGGGACGTTTTTTTAAATGTCAATTTGTAGTTTCTAGTTTTCATTTTTACTCCCCCCTTTGCCTCCCCTGTGTCATAAAAGTAACGCTGTTAAGAGCTGAGTTGCGCACATTTTTTCGAGTTTATGGACATCGTTTGGGGCGCTGCGGTGGCGAGATGTTAACTCCCTCGCCTGGTATGCAGGAGGTCGTGGGTCTTGATCCCGACCCTGACGCCTGTATATTTGGAGTTTGCATGTCTCTCTTCCCGTGGTCACGTGGATTTTTCTCCGGGTCCTCTGGTTTTTCCCTCCTTCCACGTCTAGAAGCATGCATTTAGAGTATGTGGCTGCTTTCCATTTCCAGACGATAAGCCACTTTTTTGAGCTATCATTTGTGGCCAGGTCACTGAAAAAGAGCTATATACAGCTCAGTGGGCCTGACCTGGTAAAATAAAAATAGTTTATAGTTTCAGTACTTGTTTACAGGGCTGGGTAATCTCAAACCGCCAATGCGAGTGCCCGCCGTGACAAAGGGATGGCGGGCCTTCGGTGGCCTCGTTTGGCCATGGTGGGGGAAAAGCCACCCTCCCCGGCTCCATCTCCCCGCACGTTCCTGTGGATGTTTTGGGGCCAGACCCTGCGTACTCGAGACTGCCGCGCACGTTCCCGCATCGTAGCGGACGTTGAAGTTCCCGTGACGTTATTCGTTCAAAAGAGTCGGCGCCATTTTGAAAATTACAAATTCTATCATTTGATAAAGTCACAAAGCAACCGACTGTGAAACTACTGTGCGCCGTGATAGTCTGTGAAACTTTAGCGCCTTCGTGATAACCTTTCGCTTGACGAATGTCTCAAATGCCAAATGTACTCACGGTTTGATTTTATATGTTTGTTGTCAATTTAAAGTTCCCCCTTTTTTTCAGACTTCTCAACTGCCAACCAATGTTACCACTGACATCTCGTCTTGCGGTGAATGGACCACTCGGGGTCTACCCTCTGTGTTCGAGAACGGCCCAGTGACACGAGATGTCGTAAAAAACATTGACACACTCTCCAAGTGACCTGCTCTCTCCACAATAGGGGCCACACGAACCGCTGCAGACAAATGTTCATCCCACTGCAGCGAAACTGATCTTCTTAATGATCAGAGCCGGAATTTTAGCCAGTAAGTAAAATAAAAAACAACCAAAACTATATTTTATTTTCTTTCTGCAATCGTTGGTGACCAGGCTGAGACCACCAGCTTATCACACTAATCACGGGTGACTGAAGCCCGGATTCAAACCCAAGACCTCAACAGTGTCGGCTTAGGACTGTGACCGCTGAACTGCCTGACCCGCCTCACCCCTGAGTGTGGCTTAGCAGCTTGCTGCGGATGTTGCTCGACTGGCATGCAAAGTGACGCAATGGCAGAAGCGGACCTTTCCATGGGGGGCCGGGCGCGCCGAGGGGGGCGGGGTGGGGGGGGCTACCCCAGAGCCGTCCTAGGGTACGGGGAATCGGGACGACTGTCCCTAGCCCCGCGCTTTGGGGGGGGGGGGGGTGTTGGGGTGTCGGGTGGGGGCCCACAGTGGGGTTTGCCCCGAGGACGGCCCTTCCCTCCATAAACACATCCCAATGTGTTGTCTCCAGGACAAAGATGAATGACGTAGCAATCGGTTTCCCCCGTTTTTTTTTCTGGCAACCAAACAGGTGTTGAGATGTTAAAACACCAAACTGAAATCTTTTGTAAGGAATCATGTCTGCATTAACCGCAGTACCTGTGGTCAGAATGCAAACAAAAAACGTACTCTGATAATATATGCATTGTCCTTGAAACAGATTGGTCCTCACCAGAGACGGCTTTCTTTCGACCCTCGTCTCAAAACGGTGTTAGACCAGAAGACGCCAAAAGGCGTGAAAAAAGGGGACAACTTACTCTCATATTTTGTTACTGGCAAAGGAGGTCTCATGATGACATAGCAATCCTTGGGGGACGGGGGGGGGGGTGGGGGTCTGAAAGGGGTAAGGGTGGAGGTGACCCTCCCCTTTTGTGATGGATTCTTTTGGTGGTCCGACTTTCGTCCGTGTCGTCGGGGTCTGGTCCCCTCGCAAAGAGGTCGGCCTCTGGCAGCGTGCGATACAGATGACGACGATGATGACGATGATGATTCTAGATTTGAAGCTTTCGTGACTGCAAGGATTAATATTCTTAGGTTGTTTCGGTAAAGTCACGTAGGTAAAAAATTAAAATTAATAAAAGTAAAATAAAAAATAAATAAAAATCACGACGTGATTTTTATTTAATTTTTATTTTACTTTCATTAATTTTTAATTTGACTTTTTTAATTTTAATTAAAATTAATAAAAGTTAAATAAAAATTAAATAAAAATTACGACGTGATTTTTATTTTATTTTTATTTTACTTTTATTAATTAAATTGTTTTACCTACGTGACTTTACCGAAAAAACCTAAGACGATGATGATGTCTGTGCCGTTTCTTGTAATCCAATCATAATAGCGAAGCAATAGGTTTGTCAAAATCATTCTGCGCGCAATGTGTGTGTGGTGCGGGGGGGGTATGAATGGAAAACAGTCACAAAGCGTTATGCACCGCTTTTATAGCTCTCACCCGCCGCTCTCGAATGCCAGAAGATGTTTTTGTTCCGAATCAGGGTGGGGTCATCAACGTGTCGTAGCATTTGAGGCTGCACAAACATGTGGGGGGGAAATTCCCGAACGATAATGATTGTGTTTCCCCCCCAACCCCCACCCCCTCCTCCTCCTCATTACGTTATTTTGCACACCCGCCAAAAAAATTACTGGTAAAAGTGGCACATCAATCATGCGTTGGTAATTTTTTCAAAACATTATAATTTGCTTTTCTTTTCTCTGCATCATCATCATCTAATCACCGCCGTGCATTTCTCGTTACACGTTAAGCTGCCGTCATGTGCCACGTTACTTTGTCCGGGCAGCGTGTGCTGCATTTCAATTGATTTTGTTTTTGCCCGTGGAGTCTCTTATGCCAGCAACTCTTGAGAGGGTCCTTCCGCCGTGTTGTGGCCAAGTTGGCAGAGACGATCACAGCCGCAGTCGAGGGGTGGAGTCGGGGGTTTGGCACTGCTGCTGCTGCTTCTTCTGTATAATTGCCCCAGTAGCACAAAAGGCGATGATGCGGTGTTTCTCTAGATGCAATCAGCGCCGTTATTTTGACTTTCTTTGACAGCTGCTGCATTGGCCCACTGAGGTTACTACAAGATACTCTATCTAAAATATATTTCTATAAACATCGCATCAGGTAATGTTGTAAATGAGCTCATTCACAAGGCCTTAACGAGTAGCAGAAATACCCGGGTTGGATCTGACATAGTTTGAACACATTCCTATTTGTGTCATTCTTTTTTGCTCTCCACTTGCACACTAACGAAACAGATTGCCTTGACTTTCTTTGAGCCAATATCCCAAATGAAGGCTGGACATGAATATACATGAGCTGAAGACAATTAACCTTGAGCCCAAAAAAAAGGAAATTTATTCTCCAACATATAAAACTGAAATAACCCAACGTCGTCGCTTCATAGTAATTAAGATATAACGGCATTTCTTCTGCCTCTGTGATGGACGTAGGAGCCGTTTTCCTTGATTAAACTCACTTCATCTGTGTCTACAATTAGACGGGACCCGTCAAAGCCACGTTTGGCCAAATAAGAGAAAAGTATCCCACGGAGAGCCCTCGCAAATCTAAAGCCACCGCAACGTTTAAATCGGCCAGTTTGAATTGTATCGTGACAGAAAAAAAAGAGTGCCGATTACTTGAGTAATAAAATAGATTATATTGTCAATCCACCGCTGGATGCTTCTTTGACCCATGCTTCCCGAGATGCTGAAGGGAACCCGATTAAGCGTTTGAAATAATCACTCCACCGGTGATGGATTTGCAAAGCTCCCCTTACATTACCAAAAAAACATAATTAGGGCAGTCCAAACTGCACCAAAAACACAGTCGATGATGAAGGAAGCTTCACCTTTTAAAAGCAATTTCAAAGCGCCTGGCCCAGTGAGCTTTGGCGCAACCCTCGGGGAAACGAGAAATCAAAGGCCCCTTTAATTGATCCTCTTCGTGACTGATGTCTCCACGGCCAGGTTTGTTTAGGGTCAGGCATAATACTCGCTGACATATCGACGCATTAGACATCGACTCTCTTTAACAATGACTATTATTTACAGCCCAAAGGCAATACCACCCCTCCCTTCACCCTATTAAAACCCATCCCACTGCCCTGACCAAAAGCCTCAAACTCAGTCTCCAGAAGATGGTTCTCGAACAAAAATTAGTCCTGGCTGGACGATGCCACTTCGAGATCCACGCCACGAAACTGCCGCTCGGCCAGTGCCAATTTCACATCAAAATCACCCCAGGAATGCGCTCCCGCACCTTGTCAGGTCACGGAAGCTAAGCAGGGCTTTGCGCCTGGCAAGTGCTTGGAAGGGTGACCACCACCGTGCACTCACAGGGTTGCTATAGGCGTCCGCTGCGCTAAGTTGGTGGGCAACCGACGACCGTGCAGGAGGATCCATAGTTGTTCTGTACTTCTATGCTCCCGTGCCCCCCCCCCACCTCTTTGTGGGTGGGCCATGCCTTCACCCACCTGAATTGACCAGCATGGTGAAGTATGGTTACATTTAAATGACAAGCACGCACGGCGTCGTGGTGGCAGGCCCTCATTCACCAGTGCTATTGACAAAATGTGTTTTTTGTACGTAAAAACAAGTTAACTGTCGTTGCATGTAAAGCAAGAAAAGCATTTAACAAAACGTATTGGGGTCCATCAGGCATGTAACAACTCTGGCGGGGGTGGGGGCATGACACAGACAATGCTAAACAAACTTTAAACAAATCTGAAACTCTGGAAGGCGCCTGATGATGCTAGTTGTAATTACTGGCGAAATGTCGTACTCCGATTGTAAATGTTGTGGCTTTGCTCTCCAACACACCGGTGTGCTGTACGAGTAATGCATTGGCATGATCTGTTTACGTGACGAACCTTACTAATTGGCTGTGTGGAGTGGTGGCGGGTTTAACGACACATTGATATTTACGCGATCTAACCCCCCAAAAAATATTATGAAATCTGAAACTTTAAACAAAATTGATTATGACCGGACCTGCTTTTGTCTGCTCTGTCACCCCCTGCGCAAAGAGGAAAGCGTTTGCGATGCCCATCGCTGGAATGTCCTCATGCGTACTCATTTTGACGTTGGGTTGTATATATGTATGTGTGTATTTTGGACTTTTGTCGCACCGTACGTAGCCAACCGCGCTAATTCGTAGGTGCGGGGGAAGGGACAACAACACTACACGCAAAGAGGAGTTCTAAAGAAATGAGTTTTCAATCCAGATGAAAGTACATCGCTCCAGTGGCTTCCTAATATCGGAAGGAAAGAGCGTTCCAGACGGCCGCAGAAGCGCACCTGAAAGTGCGCGTTCGATCGCCGGCAGCCAAAATCCGCTGTTGCGAGGATGGCGGGGGATCGAGTGATGGTTCAAGCTCCTTGACGAGACCAGCAAGGGTATTGTGATTAATTTGTGGCAAGCACTTTGTATGTAACGAGTGCGGTAAATACCACCACCGCCACCCATGGATAATGCTCGGGCCGATTGCCCTTCTTCATAGCAGAGCAATAAGAAGAAGGCCCTTGCCCGAAACGTCGTCTATATTTGTCTTCTTCTCGAGGGCACACTCACCTCCACCACGTCGCCCACACACAATCGCTGCACACATCACACTCGCACATCACCACGCACTCCGACACACCCCACCACACTCGCCACACGTGACACCCTAAACCACGCGTAACAACCTCCACAAGCCACAATCAACACACACACAACACGTACACCAACCACACTCAACACAACCACCACAATCTCACCACTCGTTGGGCAAATGTGTTTTGTTTCATGATTATAAATTAATCTGCACATTGAGGTATTTTAAGCAGAGAGGCAGTAAAATAGATTGTGTGGGGGGGGGGGGGGTGCAATAGAAGTACAGCACAACCATCCGATGGAGCATATTCTTTATTCACAGCTGCGGTCCGTGTTGTGGTTGTGTGTGTGTGTATGTTAGGGGCCGTCCATAAATGACGTCACGCACCTGGGGGGGGGGGGGAAGGGTCAGACATTTGTGACGATGTGTGACGAGGAGGGGGGGGGGAGAAATGTGACGTCACATCAAAATGCGCAACTTTAAATTAACATAGACAACACGTTCTACTTGATTAAATATACTTTTCAATAAATGTTTTCTCCAACAACATCAGAGTGCAGCGCCACATTAAATACGCACTACAATGACAATAGTTTAAAGCGATTTGAAGCATGTTTCATTTTCGGCGGGGGGGGGGGGCAGAGCTTTGTGACGTCAAATTTGAGGGGGGGGT